ACCCCGACGTCAATCTCATGGGGTTGGGGGAGCTTCGACCTCATTCTGATTTTTCATAGGACTAAGTCAGATTTATTACGTTGAAAGTAGCAGATATGTTGTAGTCCCCTAGTAGGTCAATATTAAGCGTTGTCATTCAATCTCTTGAGATCCTGAAAGATTAATCTACACTAAGCTTGAGTTTCCTAAAGGATCCTGCCGAAAACCTTTCCTTCCACATAATCCATACTAGATCCCTGCCTTGGAAAGTCACATTCTTCCTCATTTTATCTGCCTATGTCTGATACTTACGGTTCTGCTTGGTGATCTCCTTTCACGCCTCTTCGTGTGACCTTTGAATCTCTTGCACTCTCTCCTCAGCATCCTCACTAATCTCTGATGTAAGGAGTGGTACCAAGTCAAGTGTAATGAGAGGGTTGCTCCCATACAAGATCTCAAATGTGGTGTGCCCCATGATCTAACTCACAGATCTATTGTAAGCAAATTCGGCTTGGGCTAGAATTAGGCCCAACTGCTTTATATTTTTCCCCACAAAACATCTCAGAAGATTCTTCAGACTCCTGTCCACCACCTCCATCTGACAGTCCAATTATGAATGAGTTATTGAGTCGAATTGAAGCTTAATGACTGAGAAAATTGACATCTCCATCGAAAGCAATGGTCTTGGAAATCCCGTGCAATCTCATGACCTCCCTAAATTACAAGTTATCAACATGTGATGCATCCAACGTCCAATGGCAAGATACAAAATGCACTATCTTTGAGAATCTATCCGCCACAATCATTATAGAATCATTCTCGTTGTGTCCTCAGAACACCCACCACATAATTCATGTTAACGTCACCCATGGATGCCTTCGACACTAGTAAAAGAGTGTACAGTCCTACACTTTGCCCTCTGATTTTGGCCAGATAACAAATTATGCATAGTCTAACATGTCACTGCACATCTCTCATCAATCGAGGCAAAAAAAAAAGTTTTGTAAGGGTCATATTCTTGTCAAAGTGTCTTGCAAGTCCTCCATTGTGAATTTGTCAAATAATGGACTCTCTCGACGAATATTGAGGAATACACAACTTGTTCTGAAAGTACAGATAACCAACTACCCTATGATACCGCTTGGTAGGCTTTTCTTGACATTGCTTCTAAATCTCTTTGAAATCTTCATGCCACGTACAACTCCTTCACTACCTCAAATCCTGTGATTAGAGCCTTCATTAAAGTGATCACGGAGACTCAGTGCATCTGCTGCTCAATTCTGGCTTCCTGCCTTGTGTTTAAGCATGAACTGAAATGATGCCAAAAACTACACCCATAATGCATGTCGACTTTTCTTTTTTTTTTGCTTGTTTAAAAACATCAAAGCATCTTGATCTGTAAATAAAGTGAACTCGCTCGTCAGTAGATAGTAACTCCAGTAATTAGGAGCTCTCACTATCGCATAGAACCCTTTGTCGTATGTCGAATATTTTCTTTTGGACTCATTCAACTTCTCATTGAAGAAGGCTATAGGATGACCTTACTAGCTCATTACTGCTCTAATCCCCACATTTAAAGTGTGGCACTCTAGCTCAAACAGCTAACAGAAGTCTGGTAATACCAATACTGGTGCTTGTGTCGCTTTCTCCTCCAGGGTGTCGAAATTGGACCGGGTTGAATTTGTCCACTAGAACTCCTTTTTCAAAAGCTCTGTAAAAGAAATTGTGATGGTGTTGAAGCTCCAAATGAACCGCCTATAGACTGATATCAACCTCAAAACTATTGCATCTCTATAAAAGGCTATAGGGTCGTCCAACTCATGATAGCCTCAATCTTTGTAAGATCCATTTGAATGCCTAAACTAGACAAAATAAAGCCAAAAAAACTTACTTGTGCTGCCAAGAAGTGGCATTTCATTGGATGGGCATATAGTTTCTTTGATCGCAAAACCTCAAAGACCATCCTCAGTTGTTGCAAGCTACCTTCCTCAGGTCTACTATACACAAAAATGTCCTAGAAGTACATCACTACAAACTTCCTGATGTGAGGCCAAAACACTTGATTCATTAATCTCATAAACATGTTGGGCGCATTAAACAACCCAAAAAATAAGACTGTCACCTCGTATAATCTATCTCGGTTCTAGAAAGCAGTCTTTCACTTGTCCTCCGGTCTCATCCGAATCAAGTGATATACAATGCGTAAATCAATCTTGGAAAAGACAATGACTCCATGCAACTAATCCAAGAGAACTTCTTGGAAAGGTAAGAGTTACATATATTTGATGGTGATCATGTTGATGGCTAGACTATCAATGCACATCATTGGCGATTCCTCCTTCTTAGATACCAATAAGGCGGGGACAACACACGGGGTAGTACTCTCTCAGACCAAATCTCTTGCAATAAGATTTTGTACTTATCATTATAATTCGTCATACTCTATAAAACTCAATCTATAGGCAGACTTATTTGGCAGCACTGATCCGAGGATGAGATCAATATGTTGAATGTCCCTCAATCATGACAATCCCTCTGGAAAGTTGTCAGTCATCACATCCTGAAAATCAAATAACAGTGGCAGTGTAGAATCTGGTATCTCAACCTCCTCAGTTCCCTCTAACATGACTAAAGGCATTAGCATGGAGTCTCTTTTACCCACTATATAAAGGTGGCTCATGAGATTATCGTCTCCTCTGTGATGTTTGCTCCTCGCGCGTCCCTGGCGGGCAAAAGAACTGTCTTCCATCCTTATTGAATAAATAAATGTTCATGAACTCGTCGTGTGCTCGAACAATCATGGTCTCTCCAGCAAAATATAGCAAGCTTCCAAAGGGTACTGTGTCGCATCACAATTGCTTTTGTAGTTGATCTCCAAAAGAAAACTTAACCAAGCACTGTTAATCCACGCATATCTCATTTCCCCTTTCAACTAGAAAAGGGAGTGGGAATGAGGATGTTTATGTAGGGTTAACTCCAGTTTTTTTTCCATCAAGGTGGATGTTGTATTCTCACAACTACCGCAGTCAATAATCAGGCTGGAAATCTTTCCTTTCACGGCACACTTGGTGCGCAAAATACTATGCCTTAACCATGAATGATCATTCTTCAACTCAGTCTGTATGCCCTCCTTATCACTACCATTTTTTCCTCGTCTCCCTAGAGTTGAAGTTCCTTAACCTAGTCCTCATCTGCTTCCTCCACACTCACTTCCTTGACTCTCCACATCACGATCGAGGATGATTTTCCTCTGTCCCTTCATCAATCTCCGTAAGCCTCTGCTAAAGTCAACAAATCTCTTATTGTATCTCTTTCCGGGTAGGTTCCAGCATATCTCCATGGTGGTATGGTTAGGGTTTGGGTTTGTGGGAATGAAAGAGGGTAGAAAGAAAATATTTGGGGTGGAGATGTGTAGGAGGGCTAAAAATTATAGGATGAGACTAGGGTTGGGCTAGCTTTTATATCAAATAATAATGAAGTTAACCCAAACCACAACGAAAAGATAATATTAATGAAATTCAACGGGGATTACAAACAAAGATACTTGAAAAAAGAAAAACAATGACACAAACACAAAAACCCACCTGAACGATGATAAAAGGTTGTGGGTTGTGGATTGCATGTAGAGATAGTGGAAAACGGAGAGTTCTAGATGGTAGAGAGGCCAAGCTATAGCAAGTGGAATGTGGTCCTGCAGTTAGACAACAAACAAGGGGGCAGTGGAGGATGCGCCAGCAAGCAGTAGGTGGGTCGGTAGGGGCAACAGCAAGCAATCGGAATAGTGGAAGGTGCGGCAACAAGTAGGGGCAACAGCAAGCAATCGGACTAGTGGAAGGTGCGGCAACAAGTAGGGGAAACAGGAAAGGGAAGAATACCAGGAGATAATCATCAACTCAGAGCAAAATACAACTAAAACGACACATGTCCACGGATACAGCCTTAACAGGGAAGAAAAGATGTCGAAGACAGAAATCTGAAGCAAGAAACAAACCTAAGCACAACAAATGACATATATAGTCTTTGAGTAAAGAGAAGTAAGCAACGCTCCAAATAGGAGGAAACTGTGCATGGGGAATAACTGATTGATCCTTCTCCCACCTGAACCGAGCAGTTGCATGCAGCACTTGCCATGCATGTGTAGGCCTAGGCGGCCCCGAGCTGGACCTAGGCACTCCGGCATCAAATATATTGATAAAAAAATATGTTAAATTAATTTTAAGGAACATTATAAAGATAAAATTTTAGAGTCAAAGATCTATCAAAATTTGGAGGGATGTGAAAGATATTTGAAATGACAATGTCCACATGTCTTTTTAACATGAACCAAAAGATAAAGGGAGTGTGAAATGATTAAATAAGTATTCTACTACCAATTTAGATTACGTTAATATTAAGGAAATCAATTTTTTGTATCTTGGTTTAAGAAAAGCAATTAATATTGAGTTCACATAATTTGGCATCTAAAAAGAATGGATTGTGTTTACCAAAATTTTATTAAAGCTATAAATATATATATATATATGTATATAAGAATATTTTAATTTTTTTAAAAATTTTTAAAGATAAAAGAAATTAGGTAGGAGAAAGAAGTGGAGAGGGAGCATTTGTTCCCCCTGAAGCCCCCTTATCCGACCCCGCACGTAAAACACATGATTTGAGTTCATAAAATACATAATAAAATGTGCATATGATGCATATTTAGGCCTACCAATGTGAACCTGGAACTGATTATCAAACCAGCAACATTGAAGAGAACTAGTAATTTAACAGAGAAATGTCTCTATTCTTGCAAAATTGGAAGCCGTGCATGCCATAATTTGAATATAAAGCTCAATAGATGCTTTCATAGTTTACTTATACTCATAGATCTATTGAAAGAGTTGTATGGTCTCGAGCGTAAATACAAGATTTTCAAGTAACAAAAATATGACAAAAATGCTTGCAATTTTTTTTAGAACCTAAACTTTAGGTCAAATATATCAAACACACTAAATTCTTTTAGAGTTATTCGTTAATAGTACCTCAGAAATGTAGATAGGAACAAGTACAGTATTAACACCAATGCCAAGGCCAACAAGAAACCGCCCACAAAGCATTTCATCTAAAGAGTGAGCCTGTGCACTGAAAAAAATCAAACTGAAATAAGACTTCAACAAAGCAAAATATCATTATAATGTAAGGGTTTAATCTAAAAGAAAGTATATAAAAAAGGTGGAATTAGAAATAGGAAAACTCATTTTCTTCCTCAGACTGTCATTTGAATGTGAACAGAACAGAATATATTAACAAGAATTACACACCAATGTTGGATGCCAATGAAGGTTAGCATATTTGAAGAAATTAGGTGTAAAAATGAAGACAAGTAAAATAACTATGGGTGAATAAAAATATTATCCATAATATTTTGGGTTGGCTTTATGAATCATCAGTTTAAATTCTTTCTTGGTGAGTGTTGCTTATCAATTTGAATGACTTCCATTCATGTTACCTTAAATATAACTATTTAGCTTTCCAAATCCCCTAACATTAATTCTATCCACCTACCTAATGGGTGATTAGGTCACCTTTTATTGTACATATCCAAAAAAACCGAATTTATCTTCAATATACAGCACGCCAACTATTTCATTAATCACTCTAAAGCTTCGTTTAGGGCAGCTTAAAATGTGCGGCGGCGTTTTCAAAACGCAGCCTCTATGTGTTGACCTCATTTTTAGTGAGGTCTTAGCCTCCTAATCTTAGAACCTAGGATCTAGCCTTAGGAGTTCCTGATTGACCATCCTAGCGGACTAGCGATGGAGCCCACCTCCCGTAGAACTTCAAGCCACTTCTTGACTCATTTTTGTGAAGAACTCGCATGAGTGGTTCCAAGCACTCAACTTTTAGTTGCAAGGGCTCAGGACCAACATGTAGAGGACCCGAAATTGAGCTCCTATAGGATCAAACAGCCTTAGGTGAACCATTTGTGACTCGAATACTCGCGAACGCCGCACTGCAACGCACTCGTTGCATCATACGCAATTTTGGCTTAAATTGACTCGCCCGCCGGCAAACTCGTCC